ATGTATAAATAAAAGGGACAAGAAAATGAAGACAGGAAATGACCAAACCTCCCCTTTATGCTCCACATGCTTAGGCTGGTAGAAGCCTTTGCGGATTATCTGTAATCTCAAAAAGCAGAACAAAAATTAAGAAAACAAAAAAACAAAAGCAAGAAACCAAAGCAGTAATTTGGATTAAGACCTCGCCAGCACGCTTGGCTGCATCCACTGCAGTTGCCAAGAACTCATTAAGAGAAGCTGTAGATAAGCATTGAAAAGACGAAATCAGATATAACAAAAAATAAACATGAAATGAAATCGAAAAGTTACAGAGAGAAAGAGCGAATGTTGGTACCGTCGTCTGCCATTGATGATGGGGAGGGAAGGTTTTCGGTTGTTTGGTGGACAAAAGGTGGTTTTTCTTAAGAGATAAAAAAGACGAATTTTATAAAACTAAAATTTTTATCCTCTGTATCAGTACTTTTTTGGTCCAAGAAACATAACCTGCGAGTTGCAAAGATTCTTTAAGACATTGTTTGAGAGTCAACAATGTCTGTTTCGAGCACAGCCAGTCTGATGAAAAGATTTGTTGAATTTTTGGGGAGAAGAAAAAAATTGTAACTTGACTTGTTTTTGTATGAAGAAAAAAAAACTCTTTTATTCTTGTCGTTTTGTTTATATTCTACCCGTAGAAATTAGGTGATTTATATCTGGATTGCCAAGGATTAGGTGATAATCTCCAGATTGTGTCTGTTTGATTCTGGTTTTGATTCCAAATTGCCCTGTTTAATAGGCAAAATGGAAGATTTCAGTAGGGGAAAATGTATCCAATCCCATTTGAATATATCATTATGTGATTTTTAGCTCATATAAGAAAACAATGAAAAATATAGAGACCTCAACCCTCATGCAATTATGGAATTCTTAAGACTACTAATCTTGACAATTAACTAACAAGACCACAAGAAAATTGACTTATTATTACTATTATTATTATTTTAACATATTGCAATTTAGGGAGGGGGAATTCGAAACTCACCCTGGTTGGAAGGATGCATCTTTAAAATTGAGTATATAGTTATCAGGTTATGATTAAATGCAGATTAGTTTTTTATTTTAAATTTACTAGAGAGATATTTTTATATTTGATATCTTGAACAATAAATAATTATTACATATCATATAAACTTAATCTACTGCAAATTTTTTTTTTCTTATAAAAAATCAAACTAATCAATGTGGTGAAATTTTCATTTAGAACTCAACAAATATAAATTTTTTTATTTAAAAATCTAAAAAAATTAAGAAAACTTGTAGAATGGCTACATAAATTTCAAAACAACAGAAAGCATACCTAAAATGATCCCCAAGAGCCTTGCCACACAAGGGAGGAGAAGAAAGATGGACTGGGGTTCTTTCGTTGGGAACTCTGCGTCCTGTTGATATCCTCCCCTGTTTTCCCTCTGTTCCATGGAGTTTCAAACCGTGAGTCTGAGTTTTTCAAAGCCTATTGTCAAATGCCACACGTGAGTTGGGGAAACGGTTGATTGGATGCACGCCCATCTAACATGTGGGCTGGACTTGGACTGGAGATCCTTTTGGATATGCCAAGATGCTTGCTACTGC